AAGCAATCGATGCGCCTCAGCTGCAGATTTCTTCAAATTAAAGAAGTAAATCAAAAGCTCCCGCAAATGACGTTTATTCGGCTCAAAACTCGACATTTTCGCACGAAAAAAGATATATGATGCTGATACAAAATCGCTAATATTTCAAGGTTATGTTGTTACCAGATGTCCAATCTTACGATATGACGTTTTACAGCAGACAATTTTAACCATAACATACTGGTGGCACTATCTTTTGTCAAACGGCGGAAACTTATTTATACTCCTAATACAAAATAACTTGTATCTTGTATAATGCTTACAGCACGACTGACTGCTTTGTCGGTCATTTTGAATCAGATAAATTGGCCAAACTCTGATTGGCTGACATAACCTTTCAGTTTACTGCGCATCCACCGGAATGGTTTACCTTTCTTATTATATCATGCATAAAATGGTTGCAAAACTGTTATGTTCTGCTGAACGCAACTAATGTGAGCATGAAAAGTATGGAGATAGTCAGGGTTGGGCACGTATTATCAGAGAGAAACCTGAAAGAGGACATGACAGCCCAAAATCTATAACCACAAAATACTGCCGCACACTACTGCCCTCTGAAAAAGTGGATGTAAACTGTATAGCAAGATCCACTTTTCTGAGGGTACATATATCCACTTTTCGAAGCTGTAGATGATAAATCGATATTTGATTTGATAATCATACTACATTCACAAATTGTGGATCAGAAATATTCACACTTTTGCAATCTTACAGCACGTGATATTAAAATCGCTTAAAAGTATTAACATTAAGATTACATTATACCAGGATTGGCAAGTAACGCGTTACTTGTAATGTCATTACTATAACAAGTTACTTTTTTTGGTAACGACGTTACATTTTTTTCTGAGTAATGTTCATGGTAACGTAATTACATTTTTGGAGTAACAGTAACGATTTTACTAGTTTCTTTTATCATTACTTTTTCTAACTACGTAAAAATTTAATCGTGTGTAACTATAACTCTAGAAAACAGAAATAAAACATTAACAGTCTGATTGACTGTCTAAATCACGCGATCACATCTTTTTTTCATTGTATTCACAGTTTACATATATATGTATGTATTTACATGTATAGACTAACTCATATATAATCTTTACAATATATTTAATTTCTTAAAATAAAATTTTTTTCTGTGTCATATCTTACAAATTAAATATATGTTTATAATGCAGATTACAAATAATACTATTTTTTTATTATAATATCATTTTACCCTTAGAGTATTCACGATGAGTCGTTTGTATCTTGTTTCTTTTCTTCGAAATACCGCACCTGACTAAATAATTCTATCCTTTCTTCCTTTTTAAATGTACAACTTCATAAATGTGTTTTAAAGATATTAAAAAATATATAAGAATCTATTCATAATTTTTGTAAAAATTATGAATATTTGGAAAAATTATGGAAATTAACCACACATAAATGATCCATCAAGCACAGTAAATGAAAATTGTATATATATTAAGAGTTAAACGTATAATTTAAAGATATCTTATTAAAATACGAAAAATAAATTTATTTAAATATAAAAATTACAAAAAATGCAGTATACTACATGGGCTGAAAAATCCCGGCATTTTTAATGAAAACAAACGTTTTTTGGGCAAAGTTATATTTATTTCTCAATATAGTTGCTTTCGAGGGCGATACACTTGGTATAGCGATTTTCCAACATTTCGATGTCCTTTCTGTAGTACGAAATGTCCAAGCCTTCGAAACATGCCTCGGTTTCCGCGATGACTTCCTCATTCGATGTGAATCTCTTTCCC